AATTATCTTTATTATAATACATAAATGAATAAAATAATTATAATGAAACACTATGAGCTATTCCGCGAAGATAACTCATTAATGATCTGTTTTGTCGATCATTTACAATAAAAGACACTGTCGGGATTTCGATAAGTCGGAATTTTGATACAGTCCAGATTATGGTTGTCGGGATTTTGATATAGTCGGGATTTCGAATGTCGGTGTTTCGAACGTCGGGATTTCGAATGTCGGGATTTTGATTGTCCACATTGTGGACCCCCATTTTCATTTCATGGACCCCCAATTTTTTTTTTCGCTGACGTAGACCCCTTGCAGTTTGTCATAGACCACTGGGGGTCGATATAGACCACTTTGGGAATCACTGGTTTACACTAACTAGACATAACTAGAACATAAACTAGATTTTATAATAAATAAATTGAAACTACATAAAGGAGTTTCTTAGTAATATGTTAATAATTGGTACTATTTAATATTTCAATTATTAATCTCTTTTATAATTAGAAAAATTTTAAAAATGAATTAATATTGTTAATTAAATTAAATAATGATAATTATACTAAATGAGGAGATATAGTTTATATCAGTGGTTTCCAAACTTGATGTTACTACGCATCTCCCCTCCATTTAATAAAATTGATAAAAGTTTAGCAGTCATTTGGAAAATTGCTCACTGTGACTAATATTCGCGCCTCCCCTTAGACTAGTCCGCGCCTCACAGTTTGGAAAACGCTGGTTTGTATATAGCTACGATAGTTATACAATTAACTTTTGAAATAATTGCTGTAAGAAAAAAAGTATTGTCAAGTGATTACATTCACATTGTTTGTATAATTGATTGAAGCTGTATTTAGTTAAGTGAATTTCTTGCCGATGTTCATTCATGTTCTTGATCAAATCATTCTGATCATAATCCTGTTATGGAGTGGAGCGTAACGGTTTCGGGTGGGCTGTTCCGCGCTAATGGAAAGCACCATATTGTCCGCGTTCAGGCACGAAAAAAAAAAAGGAGAGAAAGAGGAGTTTTCGGCCCGAAGCTTCCCCAAAGTTAATGGCTTTTCGGTGTGATTGTGGTTACGTAAAGCCGACAGTCGACAGAAAGACCGTTTCCGCCATTGAATTCGTCTGCACAGCATCCCATACACACGCACACACTTGCAAACATACATACGTACATACACACACACATATGGATGCAAGTGTCGAAGAGTTGGAAGATTCGAGCGTCCCGCGGAGAATGTATGGATGGAAAGTGAAAGTGAAATTGATTTCCGTAATCCTTCTTGATGTGCAGATCCTGGCTGGCTTCGGCTTATGGTTTTGATACAAAATTGAATTCGAAAGGGCGGCGTTGAGGGACGATTCTCAACAATATGCACACGGATGCCGCAGCAATTTCTTCACTCGGGAAAGTCAAGACACAAACGAATGAGAAAAATATAACAATCACATTGCTTTTAGTATTTAGTGTCTTCAATTATACTAGAATTTACCGATTTAAAGGCAAAATGTTAATGTATGAAATGAAATAAAGAATATATGTATTTCTATTACATATTACCGGTATTTTTAAATTTAAAAAAAACCGGTATTTCAATTTTATAAACTTCTGAAAGAAAAAAAACACTAAATCTAGATGTATTTAAGCGGTTTCGGTATGCCGTACTCGTCTGAAGCATTCCATAAATAAGCTCTGCCATTTGTTGACCGACCTTTAAAAGGGCCCATAAATAAACTTATCTTCGACCGACCGCAAAAAATGGACCTCTACATTCACTGTATTCGCTTTTTATACACCGCTTGGATCATCATCGTCCTGCGATTCTCCTCACTGTTAGTTTTTTTCTTCTAATATTGTCCTTCATTTCTTTTCTTTTTATACATGTCTGTTTCAGAAGCAAAACGAACGTTCGAAAATTGTAAAAAAAAAATAAATAAATCGGGAATGAATAAAATAAGGAGTGCAACACCGAATAGCCAGATACAATAAGGGAATCGAAGAAAGAAAAACAACGCGTGCACAAAGGGATGGAGACCGTGAGAAGGATAAAGGGATCCTTTATTGTCCTGGAGACTCGTCACGCGGACGTTTCACAGTCCGTAAATTTTAAGGGCGAAATAAATTTCTTGGCTACGTATTTATTCCGACTTCTTCCTCCTTTTTTTTTTCTTCGTCCTGTATCTTCGTCCCTCCTCCGTGTATACCAATCTTTTTTTTTTTCCAGCTTTGTTTTCAGCAGAAACCGATCAATCTAATTGGATAGCTCGCCCACCCCCTCCCAAACTTCGAGCAGACCCTCAATTATATTTAATTTTGTTTTGCCAAATAAATCCCATTCAAATCAATTTCAGCATTTTCAGCGAGAAACTACGCCGAGAGCGAAACGAAGGCCGAACAAATAAAGACGACTTTTAATAGGCTATGAATATTTTATACTTGAGAATACTTCGTGCAGATTGATCATTTCACCAATAAATAAAATTATTATTATTTAACAAAAATTTGCATACCTTCTCAAAAAGTTATAATTATTTTTTTTTTATAAAGTTAATAAATATATTTATAAATTATATGATAATATTGTGTTCTGTAATTATGTAAATCTTAAACAATGCAAATTAAGGAATAATTATATAAATTTATACTCGTATTTATTTTACGGTGATATTCATGATAATATGTATTTTCCTATTATAATTATTATATTATATTTAACAGAATGTTTATTTTTTTGCATGAAGTCAAGCACTTTGGATTTTGTGTTCTAGTTTGTTTTGTTGGTGAAATTTTGAGCACGAAATCGTGTTACCATTATCTGGTTTACGTAATTTGAGGGTGTTTGAAGAGATATCGGCACGGAAGATAGGTAGCTACTACCTCTTGGGCCTTGGGGAGGACGAATTCCCGACAACAGGGGATTGCCTCGGGCCGGATCTCTATAACCGATATCCAGCTCTCAGTCATAGCGTCGAGGAGACGATGATACGTACATCATTCCTCGCAGAAGACCACACCCAACTGAACTATACAAAATATGATGTTCGAAATACATAACTAAACCCTATAAATATAAGTTTGTTAGCAAGGAAATAATATAATCAAAGTTATGTAATGAAAGCTATTTCTATTTAAAAATAATTACAGTACATGTAAATATATACATAAGCGAGTGTATGAATTCTCCACCAATCCAATTAAGTAAGTTAATCATTATAATCGGAGAGACTTGAAAGGGTATTGATTACGTTTATTATACCGAGTCTACTGCTCATTGAAAGTTTAACATCAAATTAGGACTAATTACTTAAAGGATATCAATTGGTTGTTAGTATTATTTATTAATTTATTTAATGATTTTGTTTATTTTGTAAGTAAGTAAATGGGAGTAATCTGATGTATTTAGTCTGCATATGAGAGTTAATTGTAAATACGATATGTACAATTCACCGGAAGCAAGCAATTAATAAATATATCAGCTGTATTTAGATCGACTAATGAGGCTTTATGTGTTCGAATACGCACAAGCATTGCTTCACTCTATACATACGTAATACCGTTGTTTCGTCTTTAATTGATTTTTGTGGAAATACAGGTATAATTGGATCCAATCCAATCGTTTTCTCTTACACCTTCTTTTATATTTACTTGTTTTGCTTTGTTCCTTTACTTCTTTTACTTTTACACTCAAAAAGGAGCAGCTGCAATTAGAGATGTAATTGACGTACAGACGAAGTAGAAAATTGACGTGGCGAAAGCATAGACACAAGTTGTTTCTTATATGTTTCTTTCATTTCGATTCTAATGAAATTGAAAATACCATTTCATCAAGTGGATTAATCTAAAAAATGATAAAAATTTTATAACTTTTCATATAATATTTATATTTTATGATATTATTTAAAGTAAGATTAACTACTAATTGTAAGGTGGAAGGACCTATAGTCAATAGCTAACATATAATTATTATGTATTTTATTATGATATAATTGATATTTTATACATACTTCATTTTAAATTGTTTGGAACTACAAAAGTATGTCTATACGATTTAAAAATTCTACATTTATCAAAATTGAACCTTTATTACATCAATGAAAAATCGACAAAAAGATTAAACTGCAATCTGTACTGTTTGTATGATACTCAAGTTGTTAAAGTTGAAATAACTAAAGATTGATTCTTGAAAATACAATACATTTTATCGTACTATAACGTAACATATAACGTAATATTTATAATATTTTTGGTATCACGAGCTGTGAAATTTGAATCAAAAGAGGTGAATTCCAACCATCACCAAACTAATTAAAAGTTATATTTATTGTTCATGTAATGTTCATATCTTTCTATACATTCTTCAGATATATCTTATATTTTAAAACTCAAGTATATAAGTATTGTTGATGTATGCAATGTATGTAACTTTTTACAAAAGTCTGAAATGTTGCAATAAATACGTTTAGAATGATATTTTTGTAGGATTTCGAACATTCCATGTTGCATAGCAAGGAAAACGGTGTAAATAAATCCCATGTCGAATGCGATTTGGTTCCTAAGTCGTGTCAAAGTTGTTTGACGGGGTTTGCCTTATCGTGCGCAGGCAGCGCCAGAGGTCCTTGCATCCTTCATCGGTTACACACCGCACCGCTTCATCCATCAGGATTGATATTCAATAAGCGCTGTCACCGACGACTTTAAGTCACATCGATTCTGCATAAAACTCACCTCGACATCATTGATGAACCAAGTGACGTTCATTGGCGGATAAGATCCTGGTGTGGTGCAGTTCGCTCTGATCTTCGCCCCAGGTGCGACCTTCTGCACGTCCGTTCTCAATACTGGTCCTTCATCAGGAATATCTTAAAAAAATATTCATGCAAAATTAATGCAACTAAATATGCATTCAAATCTAAAATAATCTAATTAACATTAGCGCACTTTACTCTAATTACGACATCAATAATTATTTTCATCTCGGCAAGCTTTCATTAATATTTAAACATTTTAACATGGAATACGTTCTTTTTTTTGTGTAAGGTTTTCATTTCATCCTCATCCGCTCTTCGCCAGTACCTTTTCATTTATTCCCCTTGAGTTCTGCTCTTTGCATACAAATTGAAAATAAATACAACGAATCCGTTTATATTCATCCCTTTTTATTGTCGATTTTTTGCATTAAAATATAACTTTCACCCATAAATATTACATATTTATATTTTCAAAAATTATTTTCTACGATTGATTTTACAATTTTTCTATAACAAATATTTATAATATTGCTTTTCATTGATTCCTATTTTGTATATGTTAATACAAAAAAATATATTTCAGGTAATTTAAATCTTTCCATAAAGAAATTATTATTATTAGTAATTAATAATTTAACAATTTCTATTTTATATTTATTTTTAATTGTTTTTTTATAATTTTTTAAAATTTTCCATTATATACACTGAAATTCTGTTTTATCTTCACGTATTTATCAATAGAAATCATAACTTTTTTTTTTCAAATAATCTTATGACTGATTTATCTAATTTTGCTGTATTTTGAATACAATTGTAATATAAATTGGCGAGTTCCTACAACGCGCTAAAAATATTGGGACAACTCTTGTCATTTGTTTTATCCATCATTTGTATTTTCTAAAGGGTGTCCCAAAATTAACGAATGATTTGAATTTGCCGCCCTTTGTACAGTTAAGTGTCAAATTGTTTTTTGTTTTGGGGTTTCCAACACTTTAGTGCACAACTGGCGGCAAATTCAAATCTTGAGTTAATTTTGGGACACCAAATATCATACAACGCGTAATATACTAATCGTGTTATATGTGTGTCTACTGTATTGCATATATAAAACTGTAAAATTCTTCTGAAATATTGAATATAAAAATGAAATCGAAAAGGAAAAGGAAACTGTTGTAAAATAAAGCAGATAATTATTTTTTTTTAAATCTAGGATATTTTAGCAGTTATTTGTAAAATACAGACAAATTTGTATTTTAAATTACAAGTAATGCGAGAATTGCAGTTTTGATAATTCGTCGTATATGTATGTATTACGTCAGTGGGATTTTGTCGGTCGTGTTTATGGTTGAATCCATGTTTACATCGTGTCCGGATTTAATATTTAGGGCCCCCATCAAACCGACGTCCGTCATCAATCGAGGACGATAAATTAGTTTCGCGATCCGCCGTCACCGCCGACGCTCAATTATTGTCCTTGATGAGCTGTTTACTGTAAAACGACGACCTAATTGCCGTCCGCCGCCGCAATCAAGGACCAAATGGTTTATGACAATAATAACCGCATTACAACGCTCCGTCCTCCAACATCGACACCATTGCAATAACAATAACATCACTTCTAGCAACAACAACAACAACAACAGAAACAATGTAAACGAACGCACGTAGCACGATTATATATTAAATTAATGACAAAGCTACCAATTCATTATATTGTATCAATCCTGCTCAATTCGCCACGAATTTCGATTCAATCGCGTTTAATTATTCACCTGATATTATAGTGCGTTTTCAATCTTCAATCCATTAGTGATACACACGAATCGTTATTACTATAACAAACTAACGCAATTATTGAATATTGGTAAATAATTTATATTCACAATTAACGTGAAAATTTAGTTCAGTTTCCATTATTTTAATGATATCATTAAAATTTTATCTATCGCAGTAATAAAAATAATTTCAAGTTTTACGTAAATATTATTTCTTAAATTTATATTTTACAAATATATATTTTAAACTAAATAGTAATTTTGAATCAAAGTGAATATTCCGAACGTTTTTGAACTGAATGTTTTAGAATGTGATGCGGTTTACAAGGAACCTTGAGATTTCGATGATAATTTACAGAGATAGGGATTGAATTTGCGAAATGAAATGTAGTTGCTTCAATTGAAGTGCTATAGATATGCAGGTAATTAGAAGGAGATTTTGGTGTATCCGCGTTTATCGTCGGTGTACGTCTACTCCTCGAAGTCTCCCCCTTAATCCTAATTAGATCCTCTTTAGTAATCTTAATATATTCCGTTTATGATTGCAGCGGCACGGAAACATGGAATCTGTGTGCCAATTAAAGCGAAAGCTCATCGACAAAGTCAAACTATTGCATTTCAATAACGTAATTCTGGCGAATCCCCAAAATCTTATCGCAACAATTACCTTTGAAAACTATCTAATTAGCTATAATCAATGCAAAATGAATAATATAATATTTTACGTTACAATTAATAAGTGTATTTTTTTTTTGAGAAATGAATTTTCCCGGGAATTTCGGGAAAATAAAAAAAATAGTTTAATTTGTACAAAAACTAAGAAACAGTTAGATATTTCTATAAAAAAGTCAAGAAAGTTCTAAAAGGTCTAACAGTATAGTTCCTAATTAAATAGTATTAGTCAGAAAATTATAAAGAATTTATTTTTATTAAAAATTCCATAATTTATAAATTAACTCGTAAGTACTGCGGATGGGTCAGACTGACCCACCTGATATTTATTTTTATTCGCATTTGATTGTAATTGACCCGTCCATAGCAAATATATAGTTCTTGTAATATCATCAACATTGGTTTCTCATATCCAGTATACACCATACAAAACACCAAAAAGCTGACTTTTTTTTTGTCCAAGAAAGAGCAAAAATCAAGAAACAAAATCAGTTTTAGTTTCTGTTAAATTGATTAAATGATAAGAGTTGAAATGTGATTATAGTATAATCAATCATTTCTTCTATTTCTGAAATATTTAATAAAGGGTCACTTTGACCTTGACTTGTGTTTCTTTATTTGTCCGCAGTATTTGCAAGTTAGGATTAAAAACTAGATAGATCAAACTACAGATTTCTTTATATTTTATAAATGAGATGAATATTTGGTACAGACACAATCTTGTAATAACAATTTGATATTAAATTTCTTTCATGAAAATGTTACGTAATTTAAAGAACATCTTTTCAAATCCTGACGATTCATTAGGTGAAAAGTGAGAAGATAAAAGGACAAAAAGGGTAATTTTCATTAAGTGTCTTGGAGGTTCGGCTCTTGTCTGGCAGGACATTTTTTCTGCGTCTTTTATTAATTCTTTTTTACTTGTTGTACGCCTCCATGCTTCAAGTGCACCCTATTGTCTCCTCCTATTCAGTTATTTTTTTTTGTTGTTGTCTTTAATAGTTAGTTTTCGTTCTCTCTTTTTTTTTTACCTGCAACAAGTAGATGCGCTGCACGTATCTCGGTATGGAAGAGGGGTGCGTCTGCAGAAACTTCGCACTTAAACTCCCCCGAAGTCTCCCTCTCGACGTCCTTCAGGGTGACTTCCCTCGAATTCGATCGGTACAACTGGAACAATTTGCATGCGTTTAATTCACGAACGCCAGAGAAACAATTCAAACGGCATATTAAACGAAAATTACAGAACAATTCCGGAAATGGAGAGGGGTGCGTTCTGTAAGGAAGAAGGTTTTATTTTTATGCGAACATCCGTCTCGACGATCGCACAACGAAACATTGCATTTAATTATAGAGGATCAAGAGTATTTCAGGAATGCGAATGAAAAAAAAAACCGTAGTGATTACGTTCGGAAAATCTAAAGACATTAATACCTGGTAAACAACCGCATTCGGAACTTTTCCATTTGTTGAGTGAATTTTTCCGAAAGTTTCATCGTATTTTCCGGTATTAATGTTAATGCGTCCAGACCAAATCGGAATTAATGCTTGGTTACGTAAACCGCCGAACTATCCGAACTTCCGCAAGTTAAATCACATCTAGTCCTGTTGGCCGAGGCAAGATTACGTTGGCGCGAAGTTATAACTGCAATTGACCCGATAAAAGCGAATGCAAAACAGGGAGGATTCACTCGGCTTGTTATCCGAGTGGCAAGTAATGGAATTGCGTCATCAATTTGCGTAGAAAAGAAAGGAAAAATGCTAAAGGTAAGCGAGTATTATGGTTAATACTGGACAAGTCTATTCGTTCTTTTAATGAACATACTGCAGTAATAAATATTGTAGATATCAGGAAACGGGTTAAATAATGCACAGCAAATTGCATTACGCAGACAATTTCAACTAATTAACGTCAATTAATATTTGAAGTACTGTTCTAATCATCCATAGTGTCTCTGAATTGTTTTGCAAAGACAAGAATAATAATTAGAAACAAAACAAAAAAATATATATTCACGTTGAAAAGATTAGAGTTGTTTATAATCAGTGTAAAGATGGAAAATAAGAAAACAAATCAGGATTAAATATAAAATATACTTAAAGATGTTGAAATTAATAAAAATAGTAAAATTTGAAATTATGGAAATTTGAAAACAGTAATATTTTCAACTAATTAATTTTGACGATTTGACCTTCTGAAAACTATTGTCGTCAATCTCATGTATTTCTAAAACAGTATAAATGATTGATTGATATATTTGCATCTATATAAATTATGAAAAATACATTAAAGTACTATTCATTTCTTTTATTATAAATAATTGACAAATTTGATAAATTGTGTGTTTCAAAAAATTAAATACATCTAGACGAAAGCGCTCAGGACAGAAGGGTTTGAATTTTAATAAAATATGAAAATTCTCGTGGATTCGACGTGGTTGTTTTACTGCGCGCTTTTGTTACGGCGCCAGTTGAATCTATATGACAAACTGTTGTATGATTTTGAATTTATCTAAAAATATTGCTATTTTTTTAATATTTTCCAAAAAAGCTAATGCCATCATAATATTAATAGTTAATTAATGGTGTACTATATAAATTTATGAAAAATAATATGAAAAACTGATGTATTCAATATTTTATTTATTTAACTAAATTAGATCAAATTAGAAGTATACAATTTGTTTCTTCTCAAAATAAGTATTTTAAAGCTGCGATATTTAGTTATTGGGTCTAAATATCATTAAAATACATTAAAATTAATCAATTCGAAAAATTGAAGCAGATTGATTTGTTGAGCAAAAAATAGACTTGCCTAACGCTGAAACTTATTACACAATTCAATATATCATAAATTATTGATATTATGATTCTATTATTAAGATTGCTGAAGAATTGAGTATGTCTTGATTATTAAATAATAGTTATTTGTCTTTTGTAGAAAAACAATATAAGAGGAATAATGAAATCGCGAATGTAAAGATACTTGTATAATATAATTTGATATGCTGAAGGTATGGTAATAATTAGTTTAGTAGAAGATCAACGTTGGGGAAGGGAATGGAAGGTTTCGTCGTGGTCTCCACAAGGGATATGGAAATTTGTATAACACTGTAGCATTCTTAAAGCGACTTATTAGGTGTTGTAGCATTTAATTAAGCAAAGTTGGTGCGGTGCCGCGGATCCGATACAATTAATTCTAGCACCTTATTGTTCCGACCTAGTCGTGTTGCTCGATTTGCCAACCCCCGAGTTTCTCTCCTTTTCCACCACCGCGGGGAAGGGGTTCGAATTTGGATTACTCGCATTCACCCGCCCTCCTTCTATATTGCACGTAGGATATGGTCGTGCCTCGCGCATCCACCGAACAATCCCCAAAAACCCTCCCTCACACCCTCGCATCACTAGTTTCTGTCTCGCTTTCTGTATGTGAAACTAATTATCAAGAGAGAAGTTCGCACCACACATCGAATACCAATAACTCCAACCATTTGTACCTGCTGTTCGGAATCGGAGGAAAACTCATGCATTGCGATGCCCACAATAGGGTCTCATTGCGACAATTCACTCGGAAACATAACACTGAATTATTAAGATCCGAAAAACAATCGGATACAAAATTTGATACACTCCGCGCAATAAAAGTGTGTCGGCTATAAACGGAACGAGAATGGATGCAACGCTTTCATCTATACGAAAAAAAAAAGGGGGTAGAAAGTTTTATTTTCGATTTGGATGGGGGGCGCAGATAAGCGATCCTCTGCGGGGGAATCAATAGAAAAGCAAGTAAGCAGCATCGAAAAACGCGACCACCCGGCTGAAACAGAAGCCGTAAAAATGTTTTACATTCAACCGCTCCACTTGAGCCGATCGATTTTCAATTTTTATTCCATCTCTTTCTCATCCTTTCCATCTATCTCTCAATTATTTTACGTGTATGTGTCCTTTCTGTTTACTTTTTTCTCTTCCAGGTGCGAGGATGAACCTAAACTTGGAGCCCTCTAGGTTCAGTTTAAAGTTTAATTAAATCCGCAAGCAAATTCCCACCCGTTTGCGGTCTCACAAAAATGTTCACTCCGACGTGATTCAATACTACCTCACGTTCCTTGTACATTTGTGTACCCTTTTTTTTTCTGTTATTTCGGATACGCATTTGGACGGATTTTCGGATCGTAACGCACTAAGAACTCTACCATCTGCTCAACAACAAATGGCCCCGTTTTACGACCATCCGCAAAGTCTTATCGGATAAATTAACGCACATCAAACACTGTAATAATTACGGGCACATTTTACTATTGCATTAAAAAAAAAACATCACTGCGGTATATCATAAACCTGGTTTATTGCAAACTATAAAGATAATATTATTTTATATATTTTTTTATATATCAATCAAATTGTAAATTGACATTAAATTCATTTTATTGACTTCTATTCAAAAACCTTTTTACAACAGTATTGCAATAAATATTATTATTATAAATACAAAAAATAATCCCGAAACTAGATTGAATAATTTTCATTTATTAAAATAAATCAAAAAAAATATATAACAACTGCAAAGGATCAATTATTTTTTCGTATTTTTTCTTAATATTTATTTATAGGTTTTTAGATGAAAATAACATTACTTATGAAAATCGCAACCTAAGAAAAAAAGAAAGATAGTTTTACCACAAAGCGGAATTCTTGTTATTGAAAGTACTTCAGTATTGACAAGCTATGGAAGGATATCTAATTAACGTTATAAACAGGTTTTTAATATGCAGAAGCGGTAATATGATTAGTAAAATAATAAAAGCATAATATTTTTTGGTTGTCAATGCCAAGTATGTATTAATTAATTAATGTGTAATTTGGCTGTAAATTGAATATAATTTCCGTAATTTATTGAAAAGTTTTCGAAAGTTTGATTGGACTTTAACTTTGTTTAACGGTGTTTCGGTTACGAGGAGCAGACGTAAATGGTGTAACGATTCTTCGTGATTTCGAATGTTTGTTAATGGGTCGTGTGGAGATTGTTAACGCGCCTGTATACAAGTGGGGCCGTTAATGCAAGCAGTTGTAAGATGTTCAAGAGTGTTCTAGGAGTGGCCTAGCTTGTGGGGTTTTCTGTTAGTGGGTGGTGGTAGGGCGTCCCGACGCTGACCCGCCGCAATCCCCGAACCATCACACCGACTCATCCTCCCTCTTACATCGAACACATACACACGTCCATGTATAGAATAGACCATATCCTCTCTCTGGAAATGGCTGGACCCTTCTTAACGGAAATTGGATGTTTATTGGAATCAAGTACGGCCGGCGGTTATCGGGGATTGCATTACGACGCGATTTACTACTGAGAATATTTCACGCTCGTTCCATTATGGACCCAAAACTATCGCAGTTTGGATAAACATTCGCTAAAACACGAGCTTCAAATGAGGACGATGACTTCAGTAGTAGCAGAAGCAGCAGAAATATTTCATCAAACGCATACATTTATTCTTCGCGTGACCGCACGTGCAATTTAAATATTTCTCAGGGATGCTTGCGTTGCATCTGGACTGAATATACTCCTCGTATATATGTATTCTATCTCTATCCAATATACTCAAACTTTTCAATCAACCTATACATATTTGTTTTCCTTTTTTATCATCTTCTTTATATTTCGTCCTTTTACAACGCTTCAATAGTCAATCGATTTAGAATTACACAATGTAAGTTTATGTAAGATATTTAGTTATATTACTTTCTGTTCTTTATTGTGTTAAGTATAATTATTGGTGTTACAATTGTTACTGAACAGTATTCATGTACATTAATTGACTTATTTATATTAATTTTATTATATTTAATAAATTAAATTCCTTTTTACACTGACTGTGAATTTATAAATAACTGAACGGAAAATTTGAATTATTTATTGGATATATGAAATATTGTGAATACGTTTTGAGCAGAAATATATTTAATAATAAATTAGGGCCTGCAGTTATATAATATTGATTTTTATTTTTTGTTTACATTAAAACTTATTTTGCAAGTAATACTTTCCATTTTCCCGGTGGATAATTATCATTTTGATGATTTAAACATTAATAATTACTTAAATCTATATACTAAATCTAGTGGTTTGCAACGCTTCAGCCTGTTTGTGGTTTCAGTGTTGTCGAGTAGAC